GCACACTCGCATGCGCACACACGCACACAAACACAATACCATTTTATTTTTCCCCAGGTCAAAAATGAGATTTAAATTTTCAAAACTTAAGAATATATATATTAATAAATTTCAAAAAGCTTAATAAAAAAACTTTATGCCCACGTTATAAATTTAGGAAGCCAGTCATATAATGCACATTTAAATACACAAATACAAACATACACACATTTGAGAAATACTTTTTAATAGTATTAAATTTTTAAGGACCACTAAAAGAGACAGAAAATGGTGTTTATATTAGCAAAAACAATGCTCATATATAAATACTACTCCTATTATTGGTAAAAAGCAGGAATCAACAAATTTTTAGTAAAAATTCAGAATAGAATTTTTATTAGCCCATTAGTTTTGAATGCCTCCTGCAAAATCAGAAACATGTCCTTCTAAAGCAAACCTAACTGATCATTTGATGCAAAAATATTATCAAGAAACTTTTACTTTACCACAAAGCACAGCAATCAAAGCACTTGCCAAAATCCTATCTAATGCTAGCAATCATTATTATTATATAATCAGTCAAGCCCCCAAAGTATAGGGAAAAAATATACACTTGACCATTTTCAATCACAAGTTCTTTAGAGAATAAAATATTCTTTGAGCAAAACCTCATGAGAACTAGAATTCCCTTTTCAATATGTGGTCTCTCCTAGAGCTGTAACTAAATATTACTGAGTGTCAGAAAAACAAATCTCAAGAAATGATGGACTTAAAAAAATTTCATTGTGGAAAGCACAAAGCAAATCCTAATAATACCAATTTGAAAATGATAGCTCCCCGGCCTCAAGAGAAGCAGATATAAAAACTCACAGTAAAAAAAAAACACAAAAAGCCTCACAGTAATGACTAAAAGACCCAACTGGATCTATTGAACCTCTGATGGGCTTTAATAAGCATGGTCACTAAGCAGCTTAAACTTGAAATTCGGTTTTAATTAGTAGTTGATTAAATCATTATTAAATTCATAGAATTTAAAATTAATAGTTCAACTTTAATCAAAACTTTTTAAAGTCAAATTCAATAGTGTATAACATGGAACTTGAAACTAATTTTGTTAAATCCTTAGATGTCCTATGTTGAAATTCTATTAATTCTATGACATTAAAAATAATAATATACTACTCATTTGCTAATCATACCTTCTAAATCCACACCTTGAATAGGAGTAATTTCACAAATATAAAAGTACAATTAATGTTGGCTGGGTTTATATTCCTTAAATATCAACAAAAGACTCAACATAACCAGTCTGAACTCTTCCAAAATTATGCTCTATATTTTTATTCTCTCTCTTGAAACAGGGAAGCTATCACTTTCCAACTGGCTTATTGACACTGTGTATATCCTGACCTGGATGATCTCTATGGTTTCTTCCAATTCTGAGAGGCTATGCAACCTTAGGTTATACAATTGCTTTTTTTAAGTCTCAAAACTTCCTGAAGCCTTTGCATATATTAATAATACCTTGATCTCACTAGTAAACCTATAGAGGAAAGTGGCTTTAATTTTCTCTTACAATGCAACATAGAAAATAAAGACCAAGACTTGAATAATGGTCATGAATGTGACCTAAACTAGAAAACAAGTGGTTACCTCAAAGGGAGAAGAAAATTACCTGTAGCTAACTTATGCTTCCCATCTATATTTTATAAAAGCTGACACTATTATGTTCAATAGAAACATAACTGTGGGAAAGACACACTAGGGTACATAGGATCATAGGATGTTATTAAAACAAAGTTTTATTTCCAAAAACAAAAGGTAAAAGCCTATCCTTAAGGCATTTTCTCTTCAAAAACAATTATGAATTCAAAGCAAAAATAACAGCCCGTGAGGATGCAGAACTAAAAAAAACTCCATTTTTTATGGTTTAAAATTTTTGACAGATATCTCTTTAGAGAGAAATTTATAAGATTCCCCTCCCAACTCAAAGGCCACTAACCTACAGAAAAAATAAAAGGAAATAAAGGACTATGTACCCAAAAAATGATTTAAGAAAAGCTAGATGAGTTTTTTAATAAAAAATAAAACACTGTACTTACTATTTAAAGTAATAGTATTTTCATTAAATATTTTTTAAATTTCATATTATGGTTGGGTAAAGAGATAGAAAGCAACTGTTCTAAAAAGAATAAAACAGAACAAGTTAAAGGAGAAAGCTAATAATAAGGAAGGATAAAAAGAGGAGGACAAGAAAACAGAAAGATGGAAGAAAATAAGACATAAAGCTAGGGCTTTAAGAGAGATGAAAAAACAGAAAGGAACATATAAATAGTTAGGCTGAACCATGTGAACTGTAGATCACTTAGGCTGCAACCTGAATATGTTTCTGAACATCCCAGTGGCTCTTCCACCAGTCAGAACAATAGTGCTTTGTAGGCTGAGTGCCAATGGTCCAAACAAGCAAACGGTGGTTGCTAGTGAGCTACAACTCACCTATTTCAGACCATCCACCAAATTGTAAAAGTTAAAAAGTAAAAACCTATTGGCACCAAGTTAATTATTTTTAATCACAAAGCACCCTGAATTCAGTGGTGAATTCAGCCAGTCTTCTTTTATCTAGTCATTGGAGTGCTAGGAGACCAGAATCAGGAGGATTCACACAACTTATATTGGTGACAATGTCTTCACCATTGCATTCTCAGTTATAACTCACTTTCCAAACTGTTTGATTACAGCAAGATCAATACTCAGCTCAATGACTCTGACGTGTTTTTCTCCACCATGATTCACCCTCCTGAACCAGGAGTAAGAAGTGGGATAGCCCATGAAATTTAGGGTAGCACATAACAGTGAATAGGCACTACGGCATGCCACACAGAGAGCTCTAATCTTTCTAAAATCCCACAACCAAAGAACTCAAACTACAAATTCAACCACATTGTAAGCAATAATATCAATCCCTTTATCAGAATAAACTGGATATCCTGAGTTAAATGGAGACAGAGTTGAACATTAGAGGATATACAGACATTTGTTACGGGAAAAGAAGGAGCATTTCAGTCAATGTGGTCAAAAATATGAACAACCAAAACAGAAGCAAGAAAGTTATGAAAATATATAATTTGTTTAAGAAACCAAGAGTACTCGAATGTGGCTGAAGCAAGACAGATAGAGGGCCACCTGTCTGTATATAATATTGGGTCATTTGAAAATGATAAAGAGTTTAAATGTTATCCCATCATTACTTTCTTTGTCATTGTTACCTTTCTAACTCGGCAGCATTGATTTGGCTACCACTTCTTAGTATAACCCTGAGTTTCCATCTTTTTGGACAAGGAAAAAAATATTCATTTTCCTCAGTAACTAACATCGCTAAGAGTTGTGGAATCTAATTGAAAGTGAAGTAGCCAAGTCTCTGGGGAAGGTATGTACGTGGAGAACAAGACAAAGAGGAAATAGCGTATTACTATAAACTTTATGCCCTCCCTTTTGGGGTTCCGAGCAAACTGCAGAGTAGGAGTATGTGCATCAACCAAATAAATCCATCCAACAAATGTCTATTGAGGCAAGTACTACTGTTGAATCTTGGCATGTAAAGTGAAGTTAGCCTCAATGCACTCTCAATCTCTTGGCAGAGATAATACACATCAGATTTTGGTGTTATGATACAGATGCTAAACTAAGAACTAAGGAAACACAAAGTTGGGAGGGGGCAGAATTCTGAATTTAGATGGATGAAAAAGTAGGAAAAGACGGAACCACAGAAAGCATCACAGACTGCAAAATTTCAGAGCTGACCATCACAGGATAATATAGGAATTTGTTAAGAGAATGAGCATTTCAGTCAATGTGGGTCAAAAAATAAACAGTCTGAACAAACGTAAGACATTGTGACGATATATAATGTGTTTACGAAGCTGAGAGAACTTTACTGTGGCTGAAGCAAGACAAAGAGAGGGCAACGGCAACAGAAGAAGCTGGAAAAGTTAACATAGAGCCACAAAGAAAAGGGCCTTAGATTACATGACACGAAGTTGGACTTTATTCTGAAAGCAACAGGGAGACGTTGATTGTTTTTTAATAAACGGAGGGTGACAAGAGCAGATCAATACTTTAGAAAGATAAATTTGGTGATGGTGTGAAGGCTCGATTATTGGGGAATGGAGACAGAGTGATCAGGTTCGAAATGATTATAAAAGGCAGTCTTTGGGGCTTCCCTGGTAGCGCACCGCAACGAAGAGTAGTCCCCGCTCGCCACAACTAGAGAAAGCCTGCACGCAGCAACAAAGACCCAACACAGCCAAAAATAAATTTAAAAAATAAAACTAGGGCTTCCCCAGCGGCGCAGCGGTTAATAATCCACCTGCCAATGCAGGGGACACGGGTTCGAGCCCTGGTTCAGGAAGATCCCACGTGCCACAGAGCAACTAAGCCCATGAGCCACAACTACTGAGCCCGCGTATCACAACGACTGAGCCCGCGTATCACGACTGAAGCCTGCGCACCTAGAGCCCGTGTTCCCCAACAAGAGAAGCCACCACAGTGAGAAGCCCGCACACCGCAACGAAGAGTAGCCCCGGCTCGCCGCAACCAGAGAAAAGCCCACGCACAGCAATGAAGACCCAACACAACCAAAAATAAATTTATTTTTTAAAATAGCGGGGGGAGTCTTTGAAATCATTAGATCTACCAATTATAAACCGTAACCCCCCCTCCATCTAGGTAAAATTGTTTTATGCACTTAAAAAAAGAAAAACACCTGAATCAGTTTGAAAACACTCTGTAATTCAGACTTTCCACTAATTCATTTAGTTTTCCCAATTATTCCAAAGAACAGAGGTTTTATTATGTATAGCTTTGTTGTAAACAGTGTCTCCAGTTTTGAAATTTTATATCAGTGCCACTAAAATTACTTTCATACAATTATCTCATGGCATGTAGTGAGAAAAAAAAACCTGTTAAACATCCAATTTGACCCAATAAAGTAACTGCCATAGGGTTTTCTTTTTTATCCTTACCATTACCAGTTCTTCCTGTAATTCACTGCAACTTTTTTCATTATACTGGAGTCTCTTTGAAAGGTCTATAATTACTTTCTTCTGTTCCTCGATTTCTTCATTTAGTTTCTTGTTTTTGGAGAAATACTCTCTCTCTAATCTGAAAAGTTAAAGTGTCAGAGCAGGTTTTTCAAATATGCTTTTATCAGGTCCTATTACACAACTTTAACACAAGTGGCAGATGTATTATATATCATGGTTTCATGCCCAGAGGTTTTAAAGGTCACTTCTCGTTTTTTCAAATAGAAAGAATTGTACATTCTTAAATGAAAGACTCTAAAGGAATAATAGTTGAGGCCAATAGATAACATGTAGAGGTGGAAGTTGAAAAAGTGGCACAATATGCATGTTATCTAGAAATACAAAGTTAAATATCAGAAGAAACAGCTATAAGAATTAAAATTGGTTGCTTCAAAGGAGCAGAAACTGGTCGTAGAAAGCAATGGGGTATCAAAATGTGGTTTTTCATGAGCTTAAAAGCACTATTTTACTTTTTATGTTATGTACAAGTGCTAACTTTATTAAAATCAAATTTTAATTTAAAAATTTATTAATCAGCAAATATCAAATTAAATGCACCTGTTATTTGGTGCTATTTTATAAATAAAGTCTAAGTTGAGTCCACTGAAATGGTGAACAGCCCTTGCTGTCAGTAATCTCATGCACAACCCAAAGAAGTTGGCTCCTATGCTTCTGCCAACAGCCCCACCCAAGGGGAATGAGTAGGGCGGGAGTAAACTGAAGGTTCAAGGGAGCCCCAGTCTCTCTGAATCCAACAGAGAAGTCAGGACTTGACAGATGAAGGATTTTAGGCAAGAAAGGAAAGGGAGAAGAAGGAAACTTGTAGTTAAGAGCCGTTCTTTCCTACTGGATTCCCATTTTGTTGTTGTTGTTGTTGTTGTTATTGTTGTTTAAGAGTTCAGCTAAGAATGTGACAACAGTACAGCTGTTTAAAAAAAAAAAAATAGCCATCTTCAGGCTATCTTTTACCAAGAATATAAACAATAATAGTGCCACAAGTTATAATACTGGGTTGGCTAAAAAAGTTCATTCAGTTTTTTCAGTAATTTGGCTCTAGAACACCTTAGTTGTCTTTACCTTCATTCGAAACAATTTTGTTACACTGTATTGTGACAGCTGTCATATCAGCGTGCATTTTAAAAAACATCAAATTTGGTGAATTTTTGGGTAGCCATTTGGATACTGAAGATGGAAGAAAAAAGCAAATTTTTGGCATATTATGCTTTATTATTTCAAGAAAGGTAAAAACGCAACTGAAACACAAAGAAAAGATTTGCGCAGTGTATGGAGAAGGTGCTGTGACTGACCAAACGTGTCAAAAGTGGTTTGCGAAGTTTTGTGCTGGAGATCTCTCGCTGGATGATGCCCCACGGTCGGGTAGACCAGTTGAAGTTGACAGTGATCAAATCGAGACATTAACTGAGAACAATCAATGTTATACCACGCGGGAGACAGCCGACATACTCAAAATATCCTAATCAAGCACTGAAAATCATTTGCACCAGCTTGGTTATGTTAATCGCTTTGATGTTTGAGTTCCACATAAGTTAAGCTTAAAAAACCTTTATGACTGTATTTCCGCACGTGATTCTCTACTGAAACGTAACAGAAATGTTCCGTTTTTAAAACAAATTGTGACGGGTGATGAAAAGTGTACAATAATGTGGAACGGAAGAGATCGTGGAGCAAGCGAAATGAACCACCACCAACCACACCAAAGGTCGGTCTTCAACCAAAGAAGGTGATGTTGTGTATACAGTGGGATTGGAAGGGAGTGAAAACCAAACAATTAATTCCAACAAGTACTGCTCTCAATTAGCCCAACTGAAAGTGGCACTCGACGAAAAGCATCCGGAATTAGTCAACAGAAAACACATAATCTTCCATCAGGATAACACAAGACTGCATGTTTCTTTGATGACCAGGCAAAAACTGTTACAGCTTGGCTGGGAAGTTCTGATTCACCCGCCATATTCACCAGACATTGCACCTTCGGATTTCCATTGATTTCGGCCTTTATAAAATTCTCTTAATGGAAAAAATTTCAATTCCCTGGAAGACTGTAAAATGCACCTGGAACAGTTCTCTGCTCAAAAAGATAAAAGTTTTGGGAAGATGGAATTATGAAGTTGCCTGAAAAATGGCAGAAGTTAACGGAACAAAATGGTGAATACATTGTTGAATAAAGTTCTTGGTGAAAATAAAAAATGTGTCTTTTATTTTTACTTAAAAACCAAAGGAACTTTTTGGCCAACCCAGTACTTTTGTACTTCTTTTTATACTTTTGGTTGATGTATTTAGAAAAATAAAGAAGTCCCTAAATACTGAATGTAATAAAATAAATAAATTTAGATTCAGTCTGTTCAGTATCATATCTTTGACTAGCATTATTTTAAACTAAATTTAAACTTAAACTAGATTTAAGGATTATCAGGATCTTCTCCCTACCATTGCCCAACAATCAGTTACCACAGCTAATGAAGACCTGACATATTGAAGGGAATTCCCTGGCGGTCCAGTGGTTAGGTCTCTGTGCTTTCACTGCCAAGGGCACAGGTTCGATCCCTGGTGGGGGAATTAAGATCCCACAAGCCACTCAGTGCGGCCAAAAATTTTTTTTTTAAATTTCAAGTATAAAAAAAATTACTGAAAAATTTTAGTTTTATACTGTAAGTTTTGAATGGGAAAAAAATTTATAACTAAGAAAATTTAATTAGAGGAATATAGAGAATATATATTCTTTCTAAAATTATACATTATATGTATTCGTTAAAATAGCCTGTTGTTCAAATTCTTAGCTTAGTTCTTCAAAAGATATGTTTAATATATAATAATTTTACTTATTATGTTATTATATGTAATATTTAATATATAATATAATATATACATATATTCCATCTAATATATATGTATACATATGTATATTCCATCTACATATGTATACATATATATTCCACTGAAAATAGTTTCATGCAGGAATATTCACTGTTATGAAACTGTTGGCCAAAATTAAAACTCTAAAATACACACACAGCTTTTTCCTCCTGCCTTTTAATGAGATCCTGCCTAGATCTACCTGGAAGGAAACAGAAGCTTAAAACCCTTAACCACCTGCAAGGTTCAGGCAGCATTTCCTCTATAAACTCATTATCACCAACTGCTAAATCAGATGTCCTACCCCAAAACTCACTGCTCTCAATGTTGTAAATTAAAGCTATTATTTACCTTAAAGACCTAAAATATCAATTCTCCTTTTGAAATATATTATCCAAAACTTAGAACTACTTTGAAAAATTAATACTTGAGAGTTTGTGACTCTAAAAGATTTTAAAGAAGATTCTGAAAAAGAATCAGACGTATAGGTAGAAAATGAAATAGCTTATAATCATCCCTCATGTCATATCAGTCCTTCTCATACCACTGATAAATGGAAAGGAAGTGGCTGTCGTATGACATACAATGACAAGAAGGAGGGGATGGGGGAAGAGAAGTCACAGAAACTATCAATGAGTCGTGGACTTTAATTACTACTTAAGTTTTACTGTTTCTTGTTTATTTATTAATATTATTAGTAACTTTTATTATAGCACAGTTATATAGGGATGAAGAACAGATAAGGGACATTATATTAAAGCATTTAGGATTGTCAGCTGGCGCTTAGTTGTAATACATAATTAATATTTAGAACTGTTAGTTTGTGCTTATTGGAATACAAAACTTGAGTAAAATTTTTCAAGCACCAAAACACAAATAATAGCAAAACAAACTTAAGGAAAAAATTTGCTCTGGAGCCCAATTTTTAAAGTACATAGGTTAAAATCTTAGAGCTTAAAAGTTAGCAATTATCTTAAAATTCCTCTAATCCAACCTTTGCAGAGCTCTCTTCTTCAGTATCCATAACAAAGAATCATCTAACCCCTGTTTCCAACTTTCCAAGGCAGAGAGTTCACTAGTTCCCCAAAGAAGCCTATTATTTCACGGCTGGAAAGCTTTAATTGTTGGGAGTACAGTCTGATTTCTTACAGTTTCACTAGTAGGTCATAATCATTACCTCAAAGCAACAGTAAAGAAGCCTGTACTACATACTACATAAAGGCCCTTCAAACATATTTATATATAAATGTGCAGATTCAAGAAATGATTCAAAGGAAATAAAGGAGCATAAGTCCTTAGTAATGTTCACAGAATGTCATTTAAGTCATTCTGGAGGAAGAAAATTCAGTTAAGAATTACTCATTTAATGTATTATAAGCATTACTAATAAAGGTAATCACAGTTAAAGAGTTTTAAATTTTTTCAAACTTCAGTCTTTCAAGTGCCATCTTTATAATTTCTGCCATACTCACAACTCTAAATAATACTTTTCTTTAAATTAGCTCACATCGTAAGTTAAATGAAGTATTTTAAAAGGAAACTATATTATAACTGTAAATGGAAAACTACTATCTGTCATAAATAAACATTAAAAATAAATACATAACTCTAATATATCAACCTATTATCATGTCATGTACCAATGGTGGTACACATTTCATCCTCTGAGAGGAAATGGCTTAAAATGTCTACTATTGACTTATTTTTGGAAGCATATTAAATAGCTATAAACTTCTTAAAAAATTTCACAGAACTTTTCAGATGATAGACATTTGAACTGAAAAAGGTTAAAATCAATAGGAGTCAGAAAGATCCTGACTCTACACTTAGCTGTGTGTCCTTACCCTCGTTAGGCCTCAATTTTCACATCTGTAGAACAGGGATAAAAAAGAGTAGCCACCTCATAGGGTGTTATAAATTAAATAGAACCATGCTATGCTAGGTATGAAGTGAGCCACAAACATGTTAGCCCCAGTAGCAGTATTACTCCTACTATTATTTCTACAGTTTACAAAAATCTCAAACATTGCCCATCTCCCACATAGCCCATTTTAGGTGGCCTAAAAGTCAAGGCCTTAAAGAAACTATATTACATCAGTAAATATAAAATACATTAATATATTTACTTTCTAGTATAAGAAAGTATTTCTGCATTTCTGAGACTCCTTGGAATTGCCATGATACTTCAAAATCCAACAGAGCATTTCCATATTTACCTAGTACTACACATTCATACTCATGTAGATTCCATAAACTCTTAATATTAATTTAGAGAGTTTTACAGTATAACACTTACATATTTAGCTTTGCAAAGCTCTCTTGTGCATTATGCTTTTCTCGTTCATATGCACTTTCAACTTCTTTGAATTCATTCTTGATCATTTCCAAATCAGCAACAGCTTCTGCTTGACTGGCCTTTTCTACCTGCAAAGCTCCTTCAAGGTCTCGAATCCGTAACTACCAGATGACAGAAGAGTAATTAAAGCAAGAAAGGAAACACTAGCACTAATCTCAAATTGAGTGGAATACTTTATCAAACAGCAGATAATCATTCATCCAAACAAGTCTTTCTTTCTGTTTTTGGTTTAAAAAAGGAAAATAAACAAAAGGCAGTTCATTCCCTTTCTCAACATGTGTAATGGAAGAGAAGAGTGGAAGAATACAGACTCAACTGTGCTATGAAAAGGGACAGGCAGATACAATATAATGCGTCCCATCAAAGTGCCTAATTTTGATCTACTAACCCATTTGGACATTTTTTTTATAAACATAATAAATTAAGTGGTTTTTGAAAACTAGAGGGAAGTATCCTTCCTCTCTTTTGAGGAACATTATTATATGAACATCTTTATAAGCCTAACAAAGTTAACAGATTTTTTTATTCCTGGAGATTTCTTACTGTAGAAAAGCAAAAATTTTATTATCAAATAATACTATTGGGCTTCCCTGATGGCGCAGTGGTTGAGAGTCCGCCTGCCGATGCAGGGGACACGGGTTCGTGCCCCGGTCCGGGAAGATCCCACATGCCGCGGAGCGGCTGGGCCCGTGAGCCATGGCCTCTGAGCCTGCGCGTCCGGAGCCTGTGCTCCGCAATGGGAGAGGCCACAACAGTGAGGGGCCCGCGTACCGCAAAAAAAAAAAAAAAAAAAAAATCAAATAATACTCTTTGACTAAAATATTTATGGGTGTAGTAATATAGCTAGGATTTGCTTCAAAATAATCTGGGGGTGGTGGAGTAGAAGAGCATTAATATTATAGATAAAACACAGTTGTCCTGTGAGATAAGTCTTGAAGCTGAGTGATGGGTACACGGGGAGTCCATTTTACTATTCTCTCTACTTTTGCATGTACTTGAAATTTTACACAAGACATTTTAAAAACTAGATTCCCTGTATACGCCAACAGTAGAATAGATAAACAAAGTGCATATCTATAAAAGAATAATTTGTAGCTATAAAAAGGCTACAAAATAACTTTTGAAAAGCAAGTTGTCTACATGGTTCTCTGTGTAGTGTTAATACATATTGGGAGGAGCAGAGTCCAGATTATTGTATGTAGTATGCTATATTTTAAGTAAACAAGTGGAAAAAATAAGGATAGACAGCAGGAAAGAGAGAACAATAGGAGAGACAAGTGAAAGCAAGAGTTCTCGATCGCCTCAATTTTGTTTTAATTTTTGAACTATGTGAATATTTTATCTTTTTAGAAAATTAAGTTAAGAATAAAAAATAGCTTGCTAAAGCTCAAGAAAGGAAGGCGGTAGGAAAAAAATGCTTCACACTAGATACAAAATGGGGCTTTAGAACCGTAAGTCTCAGGTTTGAGTCGCAGCTCTACAAATCAACTTATATGCCCTTCGGCATATTAAACTCCAAAAGCCTGAGGTTCCTCATCTGTAAACAGTAAATACTAACAATAACAATAATAATAATAATATACAGACTCTAAAGGGTGGCTACAAAGATCTAATGAGACAACATTTATTTAATATTAATATGTATTTAACATTAAATGTAAATATATAATAACTATTTAATAAGTGTTTAGATAAATATTTATTAGGCACTTAATATGTGCCAGGCAATGAGCTAGTGCTCACGGTATATACAATCATCATGAAAATACACAGTCTCAGCTCTTGTTAGGAAAGGACAGACCATAAGAGAATATAGGCAAGTGCTTCCTGTCACAGAAGCAGGCCCAAAGGGCCATGAAATCAGAAAAAAACTATGAACTCTGTGTGACACAAGCTTCCCAGGGATGGCAAAACATAACCTGAGTTATGAAAAATGAACTCACCAAAAAACGAAGCATAGGAAATATGAAAATGTTTCATAAATTAATCCATACAAATAGTAATCACCAGAATTATTTCTAATTATCCAAAACTATGTTGGATTAATTGAAACACCTATTCTCTTACACTAAAGTAAGATGTAGATACAATACAACTTAGTACATTTTCAAATTTGGTCTTTTAAACTATTTTTCTTTGTTGTTATTATGTCTGAACCCAGTGTACAAGTAAAAATTAATAAGTCTAGGAAACATTTTCTTCTATCTACATTGGTATGTTCTTTCAGAAACTATGCACATTCAATCACAAATGATAAACCAATCCAACTGAAAGAAAAATAGACAATTCCAAGTCACTCTTCTGAATCTACTTTCTCATTTTTAGGACATAGCATCCAAACAAATTTAATAACAGAATACTTCAAACATATTTTTAACTACCATTTATAGTAAGATGGTGATTAATTACAACTCAGTAGTCTCATTTGCTTTTAAACTAGTCTGAAACTGAATTTTACTGGGTGTACCTCACTAAAAATACTTGTCAATATTTATAGATATATGATTCAAATACATACTTCTGCTTTTTTCCTAAGTTATAGCACTAAGTTGGGTGTCAAATATTAATTTTTAATTATATGAGTGAAAAATACACATGTAACAATTTTCATTTTTATACCTATTAACTATATTTTCCCAGTGATATAACTACAGTGAAAAACTTAATTTTGAATTCTACTTCTTGCATGAATTTAAAACTTCAGCCTTATTGCTTATTAATGCCATTTTGGGTAATCCAATCATTTTTTTCTAAAAACAAAAAACAAAAAACAAAAAAGCTTAACTGAAGAAAATAAAAAGCTTAACTTACACAAATTTGCTTTACATATAGATGCACTCAAATACATGGGTCTGACCACCTAAAGGGGTGGGATAGGGAGGGTGGGAGGGAGGGAGATGCAAGAGGGAAGAGATATGGGGACATATGTATATGTATAACTGATTCACTTTGTTATAAAGCAAAAACTGACACACCATTGTAAAGCAATTATACTCTAATAAAGATGTTTAAAAAAATACATGGGTCTGAGAATTTTGCAGGTAAAAGGCATTTCATTAAAGATAAAAGTAAAAAACAATTATTTTAAAATTCTTACAAAGTTAGTTGCATCCTAGTTAAGACCTGTTTAAATAATAAAACTCTGCAAATTCTATTAATTAATTTTTAATATAGGGGAAAAGTCTAAGTCTTTTTTTAAAAATTATGGACTTGGACTTATGGAACTTTATGTAAAACTATTCACAACAAAGGCTGAGGGTCAGACTTGGTCCACGACAGTAGTTTGCCAACCCCCACTTAAAATGCCTTTGCTAACCTTAGAAGTTCCTTCTCATTCTATAAGCCCTAGGGAAAAGGATGCTTTCCTTAGGATGCCTTCATTCAGTTCCCCTCTCAGATTTAATCCTTCTCTTTATTACGCTCCCATAGTACTTCAGTATTTAATATTTCTACCTATACATCAACATATATAGGTACACAGTATCTCTGGTAATGGAATGTTTGAGTCCCAAAAGGAGCTCATTCACCTTTATGCCTTCAGCTCTTAACATAGTGACAGGTGATATGCACAGGATACGCACTCAATCAACGAAGGTGCATATTTTAAAATGTTTTCAGAAAGAAATTCATCCCAAGGTTGTTGATAAAAAGAACACTCTGATCAGCAGATCTTCCCGTAACGCGCCAGATGGCAAACACATCGGACTTTGCAGAACGTGAGGTCTCTGTCGCAGCTACTCCACTTTGCCAAGGTAGCACAAAAGCCACCACGGACAAGATAAAACTTCATAAGCACGCTCAGCAGGTGAGATTCAGCCTGTAGGGGGTAGTGTGCCAGCTCCTCTCTAAGAGAGTAAAGACTATCTTCAACTATATCATTATAGTAAATAGAATAACGCGTGTCTTAACAACATGCTGCCTGTTCTAAACGCACACCTTAGTTCTCTGGACATAATGCTGTTTTTCCCAGCTTAATAAAATCCATTAAAAAAATGTTGTTCACACTTTACCTGAATAATTTCAGAATTAAATTTCGATTCCAAATGTGCTGCTCTCTCTGCTTCAATATCTTCTTCTAATTTCCTCACTCTTAGAGTAGTTGCCTGAAAACATTAAGTTTAAACATTGGAATTTAAATTGAATATAGGCCACTATATTATAATTAACACTTTGGATTACTATAGCCTCATTTTTTCATTTGCACGAGTATAAAAGTCAAGTTGCAAAAATAATGCTCGGTAAGAATGCTCCAGAGCTTGTTTTCTTTTTCTTTATTCAGTTATACTTTACATGTAATAAATTACACATATTGAAATTGTATAACTTGGTAAGTTTTGTATATATACACCCACGAAATCATTGCCATAATCAAGACAGAGAAATATTTCCGTTACCCCAGAAGATTCCTTGTGTCCCTTGGTAACCCCTTCATCCAGTCCCCACCACCCCACCCCTAACCCCCAAGTAAACACTGATCTGCTTTTTTGTCACTATAGATCATTTCTTGTTTTCCAGAATTCAATATAAATTGAATCACACAGTGCATATTATTTATTGCCTGGCTTCTTTCTCCCCACAAAATTATTTTGAGTTTCATCCATGTGGTTGCACATATCAATAGTTCACTTTTTACTGTTAAAGTGTTCCACTGTGTTGATACACCACAATCGGTTTATCAGCTCACCTACTGATGGACATTTGAATTGGATGCTATACAAAGGAATATATATAGGGCTATATATTAGGGCTATACAAAGGAATCTTCTATGAGCAATTATGTATAAATCTTTGTATGGACATACACTTTCATTTCTCTAGGATAAATAGTGAAGGACAGAATGACTAGGTCAGATGGTAGGCGTATGTTTAATGTTTTACGAAACTGACAAACTGTTTCACAAACTGTTTCCAATTTCATACATCTTCACCAACACTTGGCATGGTAGTCTTTTGGGTTATTTGGGGGTGAGGGTTAGACATTCAAATAGGAATGTAATGGTATCTCATTTTAGTTTCAATTTTCATTTTCCTAATAACTAATGGCATTGAGCATCTTTTCACGTATTTATTTACTATCTGTATATCTTTTCTGGTGAAGTTTCTGCTTAAATCTTTCTCTCTCTCTCTCTCTCTCTCTTTTTTTTTTTTTTTGCGGTACGCGGGCCTCTCCCATTGCGGAGCATAGGCTCCGGACACGCAGGCTCAGCAGCCATGGCTCACGGGCCCAGCCGCTCCGCGGCATGTGGGATCTTCCCAGTCCGGGGCACGAACCCGCATCCCCTGAATCGGCAGGCGGACTCTCAACCACTGCGACACCAGGGAAGCCCCTTTTTCTCATTTTTTAATTGGGCTGTTTGTTTTTTTATTATTGAATCTTGAAAATTCATTATATAATCTGGATACAAGTCATTTGTTGGGTACGTGATTTGCAAATATTTACTCCCAAATATTGTCTACAGCTTGTCTTTTCATTCTCTTAACGTTAGTGTCTTTCATACAGCAAAAGTTTTTGTTATGACAAAGTGTAATTTATTAGTTTTTCAAGGTGGAGTCAGCCCCGCCACACCTAGAGTCCTGTCTGTCAAATATAGATAGTTCAACAGTGAAAGAGAAAGACAATAGTAATTTAATTTCCTTTCTTAGATAAAATTTGGGCAAGAAATGTTTCTATTCGTTATACTTACTCTGTCATTTAGCCTTAGCTAAAGGTTTTTTTTTTTAAATGCTCGGCTTGATTAGTTTGATTTTTCCTCTTTTCTCCCACCATTTCTTTTTTGCATACAGAGATGGTCATGTATCACAACCAGAAGGGGCATAAATAAAAATAGGATAATCCAAAAACTAATCAAGTGGTCTGTGGATAAGTGAGAAATGACTACACTTTTCCTTGAGCAAAACATATTCCTATAATGTCTGCTACAGTGCAGAGCATAAACACAAAAAAGGTGAAAAAAACCCAGTGCCCATCAACTGATGAATGGATTAAGAAAATGTGGTATATCCATACAATGGAATATTATTCAGCCATAAAAAGGAATTAAGTACCAACACATGCCACAACACAGATTAACCTTGAAAATATATGTTAAGCGAAAGATACCAGACACAAAAGACCACATATTAAATGACTTCATTTATATGAAATGGCCAGAATAGGCAAATCCATAGAGATAGAAAGTGTATGAGTGGTTTCCAATAACTGGGGACAGGGGAAGGAAGCAATGAGCACTGACTGCTAATGGGCATAAAGTTTCTTATTGCGGTGATAAGAATGTTCCAGAATCAGATAGTGGCAATGGTTTCATAACCCTGAACTGCATACTTCAAAAGAGTGTATTCAATACTATGTGAACTATATCTCAATAAAAAATAAAAAGAATCCCTAAGTGTAAGAACCAATGACATTTCAAGGAAGTGACCGCCACCTATGTCAACCTTCTTCATTTCTGTTTAAAAGTTCCTCTCAGTGCTGACTCTGAATCCTAGAACAAGGGATTCCCACTGGTTGTAGGTATGAAGGTGATCAGAAAAATTCTTAATGGTTAGCCAGATTAAAATGAGTATTACCCTAGGTAGAGCCAATACTAGTAAAGAAAAAAAAAAATTTTAATGTAATGCCACAAGATGAAGTTCCTGTCCTTGAAGAACTAAAGTCAACTTTCTCAATATTCAAAATACTTGTGTTAGGTTCTGCAAGTCAGAAGAAGTCTAACCAGTGTCAAGGAAATAACCCATAGACATTGAGAATAAAGGATCAAAACAGGCAAAAAGCTAATAAAGGGCAAATAGAAGAAATCAGTCTAATAATGTTAATATATTCTTTTATATTCCAAAAGGCATTTACATAGTTTTATCAAAATAAGTGTTATATTTTATTAAAATACAGAATATTCAGTGAATCCATGATAAAAGAGGCAAAATTTTCATTTTTCATGTACATGTTGTCATATTAATCAATTTATCTGATTTCACTCCAAAAGTCACGAAGACTTTTTTTTTCTGCCTAAACCAAAATCAAACAGGTTGAAATAATAAACCAGAGATCCCACTTTTATTTCCATACCTTCCTGTTTTAAATGAAATGTCCAGAAGAAAACAAATTTATAAACTGTTTATTATTACTAAAACAATAAATTAATCAGTAAGGACAGCAAAAAAAATCTTCACATATTTAAACAAATTTCTTCAAGAGTACGTTTTGTTGACATAATTAAAGCCCTCCTAATAAATATTTTTTTAAAATCTTCTAGTCTGGTGAATTAATTCTTATCTCCAGCAGAGGGTGCTAGAGGAACATCAACTTGCTGTTCACAAATATTTTTCTCCAATATCACCTAAGAGAACTAGTACAACAATCATTATCTCCAATCCTGATATAATCAACATAGCAAGAGCAGAAAGCATAAGAGAATTCAGATTAAAGTACAAAATCCAACACAAATTCATATATACCCCCAGCCAATTTAACTATATATAAATTTGCCTGTAGTACAAGGATTACACTGTATACTGTCTATTCCCTAATACTATGAACATCAGAGTTCTTTATGTGACACAAAATGATCACATATTTTATCATTTATTAGCTGGCTGTCACGTCCTTTCTGACTGCAATATACTGCCAAGAGATTTTTATTCCAGTAAATTCTGTGTTCATTGTACCCAATTTTTTTTTATTTTATGATTTGTATCTCACTAAATCACAATAAGCCCAATTAGATAGTCTACTCCACTTAAGAAAAGTGAGTGCTCATTCTTTGAAGAAGGTAACAGAAAACATTATTTTATCATAACATAGGGTGCATGAGCCGCCAACTCCAATTCACAAGCAGAACTAACGAAACACATCCAGACCACATTTGTTCTCCACACCACATCTGCTCCCATGGCTTCCATGGGCCTGTTCCAAAGTTTCACAAAAATTATGAAAACATATGTGTTCAAGGAATTTGCTGAGACACTGGGCAAAAACAGCTCCTACTACATTCTTGCCTCCTCAACTAGAATATGCCCAGCCCAGAGGATATACATGAACTTAAAGGGATTAGTCAAGCAGAAAAACCTTGATATATGAAATTTAGCCCACTAAAATGGACATCAAGAAAAATAAGGGAGGAAATATCACACAAGTACCTACCAATCAGAGACTTCTCAGTAGTGTGTTAGGTAGTACTGTTTCCAAAACAGTTGTACAAAGTTTACCCCAGAATATCAATAGCTGTATAAATAGGAAGTGGTTGTTTATTTAACTATTGTTCCAGATTTTATCACCTGATATTTCCCATTAATGAAAACTCTTACAAGTAACCAATATAGTAATAATCCATCTTCAAAAAGATGATTCAAAGGGACTGATTAATTCTATAATGGTTATTTTAGTGGTAAGTATATGTATTATATTTTACTGGTTGTAAATAATATATTAAATGTGAGTCAACAATTAATGACAATTAACTACAATCCTTATTCCCTACTGTGTGGGAGAAAACAAGAGTAGTTACTATACTTGGAGCTCTTAATCTGAAGATCTCAAAGTATTTTTTGTTACCAAAAAAGATATCTTAGAGAGTCAGAATCTCTGAGGAACAGAATTTACAAGCCACAAATTATGTTTGGCATGGTAATAAATTAATTTAGCATCTTTAAAATCATCTTTACCTTTTCTAGCAGTAAAAACTTCAGTATTTAACAAAATTTTTAATGAACTTCCAGTTTTAAAATCCATTATGAACATAAATACAAAAATGTATAATACTTATAAGCACAATAGTATAACCCAGGTGATTTCATTATTTACCTTTTATAGTTGGTAATCAACACAAACAGGTGTTTAAAAATCATTCCTACAAACACATGATGGCTTTAAAAAGATGATTCATATGCGGTTGCTTCACGGACAATACAAAAGGTGAGAATCATTTTTCTTTTCCTTTTTCACTTGAGTATGGTATATGTATAAGTAAAAAACTACATTCTAGCCTTCTTTATGTTACCATAATATAGAATATGACTGACAGAAGCAATTCAGAATTTATTTTCAAAGACTGCTCTCTCTCCACTGTAATCTTCACGAGATTCTTCAGTTCACTCAGAATTAGGTTTG